GGCAGCCCCCCGAGACCCACCCTCCAGCCATGCCCCACCCGCCTACAGTTACCACCCAGTCCATTCAAACCAGGAAGGACGGATTAGGTCCCCGCTCTGCAACCCCATCATGTCACCTCTGCCTACACAGGAGCTTCCAGGGCACCTCAAGGCCAGACCAGAATAGGGCTAATGGGAGGAAGTTAGGTCAATGGGACAGGCCCAGGAAGGATATGGGGACCTCACCCCTTCCTCTCTCTCTCTCTCTCTCCTTCCCTCCCTCCTCTGTGACACACTCTATTGTTACAAACCCCCTTATCACAGGCCTCACAGCAATAGGAACAAGTGACCTTGAAATGAAACCTTGTGAGCCCAAATGAACCTTTCCTCTTTTTTAAGTTGAATTTCTCAGGCATGTTGCCACAGTGCTGGCAGCTGACAGACACAACCTGTACTCAGTGGGTCACTTCTGCTCTGCTCACCTCAACATTCCCATTTGTAAATGGAGACCACTCCTGCCATCATGAGGAGCTGCTGGGGCTGTACTGAAACCCTGATGGGGTAACACAATACAATACGATGCCAGGGACTGCGAGTAGAGGTGGCAGTAGCCATGAGGACATGCACCAGAGCACTGGGGGTGGGGATCACCTCTCTGTATGTTGAGGAGGAGGATCCCAGTGCCACCAGCAATCCCTGGGCACCTCAGGTGGGTTGGACCCCGGAGGAGTGGATTTTGTGTCCCTCATATAAGCACCATCCACGCATTTATATTTATAAGGGAGGAGTCTCAGGCTCGGAGCAGTGGCGTGTTATGCCCAAGGTCACAGAGCTCTGCATGAAGGACGTGGCTTCATGGAGGAGTCCTCTGGCTTGGGAAGCCACCATTTTTTCACAGGACACTAAATTCTTCTGCCTGCAGCCTCTGGAAAAATACAAAGTGTTCTGTATTCCTACCTTTAAATACAAACCCACTGCTTTCAGACCCAATTAGGAGCCGGTAATTGCCTGTGGGAGGTGGGGAGTTGGGCTGTCTGCTGGATCGACACTGGGAGTCTGCGAGCTGGTCTTTTCTAGTTATCAATAAAACGCTACAACAAAATCATTATTTGGCAATGTGTTCATTTAATAGTTAATCCCACAGGCTCAGCCTGAGGAACAGCCACAGTCACCTCTCTAAAACAGGGTGCTGTGTCAGTATCACCACTTTCACTCTCCATTTCTGGCAGAGATGCATCCTGTTAGAGGCTGACCCAATTTTCCCAGGCTTCTCTGCCATCTCATCATCCTCGTCCCCTCTCCCTGGGAGTCCCTGGTTCCTCCCCTAGAGTCTCACCCTGACTGGACTCCAGGACCCTGGCCAAGGCAGGCAGATGGCTACTACCTGAGCCCTGCCTCTGGGGAATAGAGCCACCTGGTATCAGGTGCACAGACCCGAGCCCTGTCTTCCCTGCACTCGATGGGTCTCAGCGATGCAGACCGCACACCTGGGCTCTCTGCGCAGCCTCCGTGCCCAGCCCTGCAGGTAGGTGTCAGGAACCTGCGCCATCCAGATTGCCGCCTGCCAGGTGAGGGCGGAGCTCTTCCCCAGGGGCCTGGATTCTGCTCCTGACCCACCTGTGACCATCTTTGACCACCGTGACTCTGAACGCTGCCTGTCACCTGGTCACAGGCACCTGCTGAGTCACCCTGAGGTTATTGAACCATCGACCTTGTGTTCCAGCAGCTGCTGAACACACAGGAGCAGGCAATGTCTGTCCCACTGTCAGGTTTTCACCCCCCACAGCAGCAGAGCTTACTGTGGGAGCCACGGGCTCCGTGGCCTTGCTTTCCAGGGTGGCCATGCCTGACCGAGGGGTGCCCGTGGGACCCTGCCGAGGCACATGCCCATGACAGCCCCATGCCCACGAGGAACCGTTTCAGGCAGACAGTGCTGGGGTGCCCAGGGCCTCGGCTCCCCTGCAGAGTCCTCAGCTCTTCTTTTGCTTCCAGTCGAGGCCAGTGTCAAGAGCTGTGGTGTAGAGCTGGACCATCCCCAAATGCCCCTGTAACAGCTTGGCCCCGGCCTAGCAGGAGGTCTGCCAGTCATTGGGAGCATGTCCTCAAATGGGACAGTGGGACCCTGGCATCTCCTTCTTCTCTCCTTTACCCACTGGCTTTCCTGAGGTGACTGGTTTCACTCCACTGTGTCCCCCCACCATGAGGAGCTGTCAGGCCACGGGCCCAAGACCCATAGCACCAATCAGTCTTGGACTAAAACCTCCAAAATCACATGCCCAAACCAATTTTTTCTCTTAATTTTTTTAATATTCATTTTTTAGTTGTAGTTGGGCACAATATCTTTATTTTATTTATTTTTATGTGGTGCTGAGGATCGAACCCAGGGCCTTGCACCGCTGAGCCACAACTCAGCCCCTCAATCTTTCCTTTTATAAGTCAACTTAGCTCAGATATTTTTAAAGTGGTGGAGAATTGACTAATGGCCTAACCAAAATCTTGCTGTGATCCAAACTACAGGACTCGTGTTTTCTGAGGATCATTGCATTAAGATGTCCTTGCAGGATGATTCTGGTTTCCCCTGAGTGTGGGGATGTCAGATGAAACTTCTGATCTGGCTCCAATCCCTCTCCCAAGGGGAAGATGGGCCCAAGGCGGGTCAGCCCCTGGCACTGCAGAGTTGCTCCATGGTGACAAGTCCCTCCTCCTCCTGACGAGCTGGATTCTGCTTCCTGGGCCTTTCACGGTTTGGGTTTGCTTTATCGCCACTGTCCGTGCCACAGGGATCAGATCCTCCTTCTGACAGCTCTTACAATTTGCAGAGATGGTCATTCTGTCCCTTGGAGTGTCTTTTTCAGACACAGGAGCTCCAGGGTCTTTACCTGTTCATCCCAAGACAAGGTTCCAGCCCTCAGCTGTCTGTAACTGTCTCGGTTCTTCACCTTTGGAAGGCCTCTGACCTTCCAAAGCTCATCTCCCTAGCTCGGTGGCAGAGGATGGGTGGTCCAGGAGAGGTGCTTGTGGTGGACCAAGTTGGACAGTGAGGACATGCAAGGAGAGAAACAGAGATATTAATTTATGGAGGTAGGCAGAAGGAAGTCATGCGCAGACCAAAAATGGCAAGACAGGGACCTAGGAAGGCAGAAAACAGGGATAGGGTCATTGGTCAATCAGGGAGTACGGCCACTGCCTGCAGCAACATTTCAAAATTCATTAACATGAGAAACATATCGCTTCCAGAGTTGTTCTCTGAGAAAAAATGAAAACATTACAGGAAAGCGGAAAGCATCCCTGGAGCCCACTTTCCTTCCCCCCACCAATCCCAGTCCCTCTCTGACATTTCCAAAGTCCATCAATTCCCAGTTCTACAGACGTCCCACAGAGCTCCTCCCACATGTGTACGTACGTGTCTGTAGGACTCTGTTAGGGTCTGTAAACAAGTCAAGATGGCGCCTGGCATTTTGCCAGAAGGAGTGGTTTGTGAAGTAACGCCATCAGCCACTAAGTGTGGAGATTCCTTATTGGTTGACTGCTGTATCTAGTTTATGTTAATTAAGATAAGCTGTGTGGAATGTATATATACCCCTCCTGTCCTACAATAAACGGCTCCCACTCCTGTTGTATCAATGTACACAAGTTGCTCGTCACCCCCTGGTTATTTTGCTGCAGCTGGACTGCGGCAGGACTCAGGGTTCTCCAGAGAAATAGAGCTACAGGTAGAACAACCCCATTCCAAAGGTCCAAAACCCCAAAAACTCCAAATCTAAAACGTTTTGATTGAGTGCTGACATGACCCCAGAGTGAAAAATTCCACACCTGACCTAATGTGACAGGTCACAGTAAAAGCACAGGTGTATGTGTTAGCATTCTGCTGCTGTGACAAAATACCCCAGAAGATCAACTTAGAGGAGGAAGTATTTATTTTGGTTCATGGTTTCAGAGGTTTCAGTCCAAGGTTACCTGGCCTGTGGGGGGCAGAGTATCCTAGGGGAAGGGTTTAGTGGGGGACAGCTGCTCACCTCATGTCATCTGGGAAGCAGAGGGGGGGTGCAGAGGTCAGGACAAGATGTAGTCCCCAAAGGTACAACCCAAGGACTACTCCTTTCCACTAGGTCTCACCCCCTGCAGTTTCCCACACCTCCCAAAAGTCCATTCAGTGATGAGCCTGGATTAATCCATCCGTGAGGTCAGAGCTCTCAGGTCCAATCACTTCCCAAAAGTCCTGGTCTGAGCAGTGACCCCCTGAAGTTCGAGCTTTCAACCCACAAGCTGTCGGGGACGATTCAGGCCCAAATCACAGCAATGTACTAAAAATACCACAGAAAATGACACGCAGGCTCTGCGTTCAGGTGCAGGTGGAAAGTCAATGCTTTGTGTTTAGACTTGATGCCCAACCCCAGGATATCTCCTTATGTAGGTGCCAATGTTCCCAAACCTCCAACACCTGAAGCACTCCTGGCCCCGACCCTTGGGTGAAGGAGGTTCTGCCTGTAACGAGCTGCATCTTCTGCCTCCCAAAATGGACATTCCTGTTGTTCCCGGCTACTCAGCTGCCTGACGGGGAGCAGACTTCCTGAATTCCTTCAGACTCCGTCTCCTCCTCTTTCACATGACCATCCACACCCTGTCCTTGGAAGGGGATCCCGGGGAACTGACCCAGGGCCAAAGTGTGGATGTGACAGAGAAGACGTTCAAGTGGTTATCATCCCTGCCGAGAGTGTCCATGGAGACCTTGGAGGCCCAGCTGGTGCAGGTGCTGTGGTGGATTCCAATGTGGGGAGGGGAGCACAGAACAGGTGGCCCCCTCTGGCTCAGGGTCACTCCCTCTTTGAGGATGACAGTGAGAATCATGCGCACCCTTGCATTTATTTAATCTGTCAAACACGCCTGCTGGCTCAGGATTGTTCTCTGAGCGTCTCCGAGGAAGAAACCGAGGCTAGGCAACCCCCAGACTTGGGTGGCCTCGTCCTTTTCCTTCTGCGTTGTCGGGGGGATAGACTCTTGTTTCAGAGCAATCCTAAGCAATAGCAGTGATGGAAATCCTAATGAAGCCGGGTGGTGGGACGCCATCCTGGCCTCACGTGGTCCCGAGTCCTCTGTGCCCCGTAATTTGATGAGTTCCTGCCAGAGCTCGGAAGGGAGATGCTGTCAACCTGTCAATCATGCAGGTGGGGAAGGGGCGGCAGAGACCTGGGTGCCCGCCTCTTGCTCCTGTTCACCACTTGGAGGGGCTCTGGCTGAACTTCTGAAGCCAGCACCTGCATTTCTCTCCCTGGGGGGCTTTTATTTCTGGCACCAAGAAGTTCCTCTCTATCTGTCTTCCAAGGAAAGAAAACTATCACCCCCTGGGCCAGCGGCTCGTGGGAATTGAGTGAATATCCCAATATCCTTGCCCCTTGGAGGGAGGGGAAAATTTTGAGGCAAGTCTCCTGAGTTTTTCTGCCCTCAAACCTTTATCTCTCTGTCTACTTCTCAGGGTCCCCAGCTGAAGACACTAAGGCATAGAGGAGTCGTAAATTGTTCCAGTAAATTGATGTCACCTGAGATGCCCTTCAGTCTGGGGTTGCAAGGCTGCTGGCCCTTCTGCCCATCCTCAGGGGACGCTGCCCCGGGGCATAGGGCTGTCCTCTGGGTGAGCAGAAAGACTATCTGCTGCTCGGCTCCCGTCATGCTGGGGCCGTGGGAATTCTCAGCCAAAGGGTGTTTGCAAGCTGCTTCTGATCGGCCCTGAACACTGCTGCCGAGGCGGGGAGGGGAAGACAGGAAAACACCGAGTTCTGCACCACAGGAAATCACGTTGGAAAGCTGTGAAAATCATGTCTCCTTTTGAGGCATAATGGTTTTAATTTTCTCAGGCCCTGATCTCCCTGGCAACAATTTAGAAGAGCATAAGCATTCATGAATCAAAGTTGGGCACGTCTGCAGGTTTAATTATGTGTTATTGGATGGAAACTTTCCTTTTGATCTTAGCATTTAAAGGGATTTACACTTTAACAATTACATTTTTCCCTCCCAATGTCAGTGTGCGATATTGAATAGCATCGGCATCCTCGGGGTGGGAGGGGGCGCTGAGAAAGGCAGGGGAGGGTTCCCTTCCGCCTGGGGTACGTCGAGGGACCGTCTGCCTGTTCCTATTCTTAAGAAACGAGCAGACTGGCCAGGCCACTCTGCTCTACTGGACACATACAGGCCAGGGTCTCCTGAGCCTCCCCAGTGGCCAACCAGTCCCACCGTGGGCACCATGTTTGTCAAGATGATACAGCTTTAGCAGATCTGGGGCCGCTTTCTTCCTCTTCTGAATCTATGCTCTCCTCTCCTTCTTCTCCCCATAATACATTCCAGCACGTCTGAGTCACCCTCAGGGACCCATATATAACAGGCCTGGCAGTCACTCTTCAGGTCTGAATGCAGAGATTTCCAACACTTTACACAAAAATTTTGTTGGTGTCCAGAAGCATCCGCAAATGACCTAGAGATGGTTCTTGTCCACATTCTTTCCTCCTCCGAACTGCCCCAAACTGCGTATTCAGGCCTGCGCTGGCTGGGACAGGCACCGTCTATGTAGCAACGTTGTCCAGCCAGTACACTAATGCCACGAGGCTGTGAGGCCAGCTGTTTGGGCTTTCTCCTGACCCCACCACGCACACATCACTCTCCCTGACGGTACCTAGGCCTCATCTCTAAACAGGCATGATAAACCCTTGCTGGTTAAAACTAAAACAGGACAACTTAAAGGGCATGGCTTAGGTTCTAGATATTAATAAACACTTTCCAACTTAATAATTTAAAACAAGACCTACAACATTTTTTTAAAATAGATGGACAGATAATAAGTATTCTAAGCTTGGCAGGTGACAGTGTCTGCTGAATCTTCTCTACTCAGCTGTAGTCACATGAGGGCAGCTGTGGACAATCATGTCCTGCTGGAACACAGAACCCAGAGTGGGCAATCCGTACAGAACGGGAGTCTCTCTGGGCATGAGGTTCTGGAGGTCAGGAAGTCCAAGAGCATAAAGAGAGCTGGCATCTGCTTGGATTCTGGGGAGGACCTCCCGGCAGAAGGACAAGCAAGCACAAGCTGAAGAAGCCAGACAAGAGGAGTAGCCTTCCTTTGTGACAACTCCGTCTCGAGGTGACCCAGCCCCAGAAGAGCAAGAACTCATTCATGCATGCAGGCTCCACCCCAAGACCCAAACCCTTCCCACTAGTCCCCACCTGTCACTATGGCTGCATTGGAGACCAAGCTTCAACACAAGTTTTGATGGGGACAAACCGTGTTCAAGCCCTAGCACTGCATAGATGAAGGAATTGGTTTTGCTTCAATGAAATCATATTTGCAAAACCAAAAGACAGACCAAACCTGGCCCATGGGTCACATTTTGCCAACCGTTGACTTAAACCAACCATGGATTCGCTTCACAGTTTTCTGGGTTGAGGGTTTGGCTGAGGACCAGAGGTTGTGCTTTTCTGGACTTGGCAAGGCCCACTCCTGGGTCTGAAGTCAGCTTCTGGGCCAGTGTAGGTTGGCTGACCTAGGACGCCCTCCGTGAGATGCCTCTGCTCCTCTGCGTCCAGTCTGTCGCCCTCCAGCAAGCTAAGCTGGACTTACCCAAATGGAGCCTGGGCAGGGCTCCCAGGGACCAAACAATGGCATGCAAGGTCTCTCGAGGCTGAAGGTTGGTATGGCACAGTGCCCACCCCGTCCACCACATTAGGTTGGCCAAGGTAAACCACAGGGCCACCCAGACTCAATGGCTGGGTAAGTGACTCCAACAGCAGCTGGAAGAGGAAATGCTAAACCAGAGGGAGACTGTCAGACCCTTTAGCAGACACCTACACAGTGGAGCACAGGATGCCACAGGATGCCAGCTATTGGTGGGCACCCGAGCTGTACGGGGTTTTGTAATGAAAACAGGAGAGATTACAAAGTCGTCCGGTCCCAGCTTTGAGATGCTCAACGTCCAGACTATGAGATAAGTTCTGTTCACAAATGACCACAAGAAAGAATGAAAAGAAGAAGGTGTTCTCCCCCTTGAAGTTCTGAGCGCAGGAAATGCAAGCAACAGGAACACAGGGGATCCAAGTTAGGGCAAGTTTTGGACCCCTTTGGGACTTTCTCTCAGTGTGCTTCATGACCACGGAGTCCTAGTTATATCTTAGGCCCTAGACACCTGAATCACCGTACGGTGACCCTGGCCTGTGTTCTGTGGGTGGCTAGAGCTTTCTCACGATTTAAGGATACATCAGCCAATTCTGCTATGACAAAATTCCGTAGGCTGGGTAGCTTAGAAACAACAGAAATGTATTTCTCCAAGTTCTAGAGGCTGGAAGTCCAAGGTCAAGGCCCTGGCAAGGGCACTCTGCCATGCTCACGAGTGCCATCTTCTAGTTGTGTTCTCACGTGGCCAAAGGGCCATGGTGCCCCCTGGGATCTCCTTTGAAGGGGACTAGTCCCACCGTCAGGGCCTGATCACCTCCAGAGGCTGCACCTTCTAATGCCATCGCTCCAGAGATTACGTTGCCATGTATGTACTTGGGGTCACACGAACACTAAGCCCATGGCACCTCCCTGATCTCGGGGTGAGGGAGAGCCCTGGCATCACTCCCCTGTGGATTTCCTGGTCTCAGTCACATCAGCAGAAGGACACAGTAAAGCTGGGAACCAACTGAAACTAGGGACAGCATTTCAGAGAGCATCTCCCTTTCATAGGCCTTGAGAGGGGAGGAGGCTCGCTTGTCCAGGAACGGTTGAAAGAGGGGTCCACCAGGTTCAGGGTGAGAGAGTGGGACAGCAGTGACAGATGAGGTCCGACAGTAACCAAGACTGGCTCGTGCATTGGGGATAGACTACAGGGGAGCCATGGAAGTAAGAGGGACAATCAAAACAGTGCCCATGGCCTGGCCTCGGGTGGTTGAGGTGGACCAGGGAGAGGCAGCTGGATTCTGGGCTTTGTGCTGGTAAAAGTTGTGGAGATTTGCTGAAGCGCTAGTTGTTCAGAGGAGAGAGAGGAATGAAGAACGTCTCCAGGGTGCTGACCTGGGCCCAGTTAAGGCCAGAAACATCACCGGCCAAGAGTGGGATGGACTGGGACAGGAGTTAAATTTGGGAAGAAAAATTAAGATCTTGGTTTTGGCAACTGCTACCCATTGATGTAAGTGGTGATCCTGGAGTGTGGGACAAGGGCTGGGTTTGAGTCATGCACTTAGAGTCCCCAGGGCGTAGTGGCATTTGAAGCCTGCAGGTCTTGAGGGAGAGGGATGAGGACTGAGAGGAAAGGCAGGTGAGGCCCGAGCCAGGCACTGCAATGTTCAAAGTCAGAAAGGAAAATGGCACCGGAAGGACAGGGTAGAGGACGTGAGAAAGAACGGTCCCCGAGTTAGGCAGGAGAAGAGCCCAGGAGACTGGCCTTCTGGAACCCAAGAAGAAAGTCTTCCAAGAAGGAGCCTGGGATTCAAACAGGGCTGATGGGCTGAGAAAGAGGAGAACTGGGGAGCACCCCACACTCAGCAAAGCAAGCTGGAGGTCACGGCGACCTTGTCCTGGGTACTTCTGGTTTAGTCGTGGGGGAAAACGTCTGAGAGCAGAGGGAGACTAGGAGGGAAATTCAAGTCAAACAAGTCATTGAGGATTCGGGGGAAGTAATAGAATGGACCCACGAAGAACTCGCTAGTGATTCCAGTCACAGAACTGTGGATGGCCCAGGAAACAGGCTTCACTTCCCCACAGCAGGGCTCTGTGTTCAGGGTACTGAGGATGTGATTTTCTGCACTGGGTTGAAATTTGAGTTGGGTGAGCTGTCAAAGGCCCTGAGAGCTTTAGAATGCAATGACACCAAAGCACGGACATGGCCTGTGATTGGCCCCATTTCTAAGTTCTCCAATAAAAATGAATCCAGTGAGACAGATTGATTCATTGATTCTCTGAGTCAATAGCTTGCTTAATCATTTGAATTTGAATTCATCCATCTATCCATCCACCTGTTCATCCATCCATCCATCCTCCATCCATCAATACACCTGTTCATCCATCTTTCCATTTGTCTGTTCATCCATACATTCATACCTTCTACCCTTCCATCCACCCATCCACCCATCCATCCTCCATCTATCCATCCATCCGTCCACCCACCCATCCTCTATCATCCATTCACCTGTTCATCCATCCACTCATCCATCCTCCATCCATCCATCCACCTGTTCATCCATCCACCCATCCTCCATCCATTCATCCACTTGTTCATCCATCTTTCCATCTATCTGTTCAACCGTACATTCATACATTCTATCCATCTAGTTATCCACCCATCCATCCACCTATCATCCACCCATCTATTTTTCATCTATCTGTCCATCCACCCACTTGATCATCCATCTTCCCATCTATCTGTTCATCCATACATGCTATCCATCTATCCATCCACCCATCCATCAATCTATCTGTCCACCAATCCACCCTCCATCCATCCTTCCATCCACCCATTCATCACCAAACAACTTTAACAGAATCCTTCTCAAAGCCATGCTAGATCATGTAGAAATATTCATAAGAAGTATGTGTCCTCTGAAGGGACCACATTTGCTAACTGTGTAGTAACAGCATAACTATATGTTATATGCTACTGGTAAGAGGGTATGCTGAGAGCAAGTTATGCTAATAGTAATATTACACACATAGTACTCATGTAGTACTTTCTGTATGACTGTGCTCTCCTAAATGTTGTACATGTAGTAATTCATTTCTCTCTACAAGAACCCTAACAGGTAGGGATTGTTATTATTTTTCCCACTTTATATGTAAGAAAACATTCCTTCCAGGCTTTATTGTAGGAAGGAAAGACTATTTTCTGAATTCAAAAGTCTGGATTTGGGTCTGGTTCTGTGGTTAGCTGTGTGACTTTAGGCAACTTCTTTGCTCCCTCACTTTTCTCCTGTCTAAAAAGGCTTCCTCTGCATGTAGAGAAAAGTGGTGGCAGTAAGGACTGGAATCAACAGCAGCTCTGAATACAGTCATGCAAG